AATAACTTGGTTAAACTGGTTCTGAAACCAATAAATTATATTGATTATTTACCTTGCTACATCCATGGAACCTGCCCCACTCTTGTTTAATAATTTGGTTAAACTGGTTCTGAAACCAATAAATTATATTGATTATTTACCTTGCTACATCCATGGAACCTGCCCCACTCTTGAAAAAATCTGTTTCATCACTAACTTGAAGATTTAGAATGCCTGTCCATATACTCTGAAAAATCAACATCATGACATAAGTATATTGATTTAGAATGCCTATCAATATCTTCTGAAAATGTCATTATAACAATATTTTGGTTTAGAATATCTGTCTACATCCTCTGAAAAATGATCATTACTCAAGTATATCCTTTTGAATGCCAGTCCATATCCTCTGAAAAATCAAGGTCATAATATCATTATTTTTGTATAAAATGCCTGTTTTTATCCTTTCAAAAGTTAATGTAATTATATCAATATTTTTGCACATCTTAAAGTTATATTTAAAACTTTAGTATGTTGATTCAAAAATGGGTCCCAATATTAAATTTAATTTGTTTGGTTAAGGCTATAAAATGTAACATTTTTTTGTCTTAAATAGTTGTTCCAATTGTTAATATTTTCAATCTTAAAATGGGCAGTGTAGCTCTATGTTTTCTTTACTTCTTTTTCTGATTGTATATACTTAAGCAGTGCTTTATCTATGTTAGTGTATTCTCATATGTATTTTTCACTGTTATAGGGTATTTCTTTATTAATGATTTATGATAGTAACATTTGTAAAAATTAAAAGCTTCAACTTAAAAGATGATTTCACTTTAATATACCTAGTATATTTTTAGTTTCTTTTATTTTGAAAATTAAAACTAAAAAAATGCATTTTCTTTTACTGGAATTAATGTTAAAGGGTTTTTTATCTTGTATTGTATTAAGTCGTCAAGAAATTAATGTTGCCTTTTTTTTAGATGAAAAACTCGAACAATTTATTTATCAAAAAACATTTATTAAATGAAATAGTCTCCATTCTTATTGATGATGCTTTTACATTATACAATCAGGTGGTTAATACCCTGATTAAAGAAATCACTTGGGTTTGAAGCAAAAAACACATCAATGTCCTCTTTAAAACCTTCCACATTTGCATATGTTTTCCAATTAAGATGGTGTTGCAGCAAACGAAAAAAATGGTAATCTGATGGTGCCATATCTGGAGAATATGGTGGGTGGGGGAGAACTTCCCAACTCCATAATCTTGTGTTGCGTCAAATGTGCTACATGTGAACGTACACTGTCGTGGAGAAAAAGAACCCCTTTCCGATTGACGAGTGAAGGGCATTTCTGATGAAGGGCTTGATTTAAACATTCCAGTTGCTGACTATAGATCTCTGCATTGACAATTCATTGTGGATTGAGGAGTTCGAAATGGATTACTCCCTTAATGTCCCACCAAATGCAAAGCATCACTTTCTGTGGATGGAGTCCAGGTTTTGGTGTCGGAAGTGAGTTTTGTCAAGGACTGAGCCATTGTTTTTAGCATTTAATATTTGCATAGAAAATCCATTTTTCATTACCAGTGACAATTCTGTCCAAAAATGGTTCACGCGCCAGATGAGACAAAGCAACATTCACATGTTGGAAATGATGATCATCAGAGAGTTCGTGAGGCACCCAAACACCTTCTTTAAGGAGTTTACCCATATTCCTTAGATATTTACGTATTGTTTCATGGGAGACATGCAAATTCAGGGCCATTTCACAAGTGTGTTGCCTTGGGTTAGACTCAACAAGCATCTTCAGAGCATCATTATCAATTCCAACATTTCAGCCCCTGCCATCACAGTTTTTAAGGCTAAAGTCACCTGAATGAAATTTTCTGAACCATCGTTGACACCTACAACATTTCCATAAACTTCTCTGATACTCTTTGTGGCTACAGAAGCGTTGTTCCTTACTTGTATTCAAACAGCATTACATGCCAAATCTGTGTATCATGGTGTGCCATCACCATAAGGGATTAGAGTATACTAAACTTTACACATTATATAGGCTACACTAAAGTGACGTTTAGGTGGTTCATTTAACTGTTATATGCGATATACGTTTTATGGGGGGCTGTTAATGAAAGTGTTCCAAAACAAAACATTAATTTCTTGGTGACCTAATAGCTATTGTGGCATCTACTTGGAGTGTACGTTTTCAATAATAAAATTAATGTGCTCCTTGACCATATCACAAGTTTAAAGGTTATTGGTTTTAAGATTAGTTTTAATTGTTGGCTTGAGGAAAAGCCAGAAATACAGAAGGGAGAAAAAGTGTGATAAACAGGCATACAGAAATTAAAAATGTTTTCATTTATTTAGTTTGGATGTAGTTTTAGCGTAAACATGAGGTCCTAAAAGTCAATGAAAGAACCTTGTTCTAAATTACTTTGTTACTTTATTCTCTTAAGAAAATAATATCCATTCTATCCAAGAGGTTATTGCAGTAACAAACAGTATCCGGGTTGAAAGAATTAGCAACTAATATCCTTTGCTGGCCAAGTTAGCATTGTGAATGTTATAGCTGACTAATGCTGTGAGAGAAAAAAGATAGTGAGGTAACTGTCAACTGGCCAAAGAAACCAAGTTTATCTGTTGAAATCAGGGACACTTTCTTGGTTCAGTTCCAGAGAGAGTGAAAGCTAAGTATAACTCTGCTCACACTAGCTAATCACCACACTCACAGATGTGAAGCTTTACTCAATGTGGCAAATTTAAATCACCTTTGATTTGCCACAAAAGTGAATAGAAATTCATTATTTCTTTTTAAAGTAATCTTGACAACAAAGAAACCACCACAGAATATCACACTAAAGCACATGGCACAATCAATGATACTAAATTAAATAATAGTTTGAACAACCAATTTTTTGTTTTTTTAATTAACAGAAAGATGACATTTTGAGCTGGGGCTCTTCATCAGATCATACAATTTACAGCAAAGGTGCATGTGCAGAATTCAAAGAACTTGCGTGCATAGTATTTTGAATGTTGAGAATGAAAATTCTAAGCAAAACTACATCTATTACATAAAAATTACAAATCAGGAAAAGATAAAACAGATAGCAATTAAAATTTCAACAAAAAATGGAAAAATATAAATCTACAAGAAAGAAGTGTTCATTTAAACCAGATAATTGTAGGGTTCCCAGATTGTATGCTTCTGTTGTTTTAACTATATTTGTCTTTTTACAATCAATGAGACACTTTATCGAATGAAAATTTTAGACTTGTGACAATTTAAGGAATCTCTCTTGATTCACTCCAGAGATTCTAACCCATTTAACAATACTTTTAGCACGTTCCATGTGTACTGTTCCTTTATAATAAAGTTAAAAGTAGAAATAAAAGTACTTTTAACTTTATTACATCTCTTTAAGGGTAACTGCCTTCCCACAACTGGCTGCAGACAGTGAAAGGCAGTAAGAGTTGAGATGTTGTTGGCATAAGCACTCAACTCTGTACCCTTAATGAATATTCCACGATTGCTGACTGGTTTCTCATCTCATTTTTGGATTTTGTCTGATAGATGAAATATCCCCAATGCATTTGGGTGCTATTAACACAGGCAATCTCCATGACTTTTGGATAATGAGCAAAAAGTGCAAAGGCTTTTTTGTTTTTTTAAATAGAGTTTTGA